CCATGCCTTGGCATTTTAATTGCTCTTTCAAATGCTTCTTAAATATTGCAAGAGTACCTGTTTCCACAATGTGTTCCATATTTCCATCATTCTCTAGGTATAAAAAAATTCTTTCTCAGATCTCCTCTAAATTAATTGCTTCTCAACTTAAACTTACGCCTCTGATCTCTGACATGCCTGCCATCTCACAATCTGCTCTGACTATGCCTCTTATAATTTTGTATACCTCAAACAAATACTCCCTCACCCTCCTTTGTTCCAAGGAAACTGAACCCAGCTGATCCAGTCTCTCCTTATTTCTGAGATTTGTCATCCCCGCTAACATCCTGGTGAATTTCCTCTGTGCGCTTTCCATTGCAATCGCGTGCTTCCTACAGTGTGGAGACCAGAACTACACATAGTATTCCATCTGTAGCTGAATGAATGTTTTATAAAGTTCTAACAGGACTTCATATTCTACGCCCGAGCTAATGAAGGCAAGCATCCAATATGCATTCTTCATCACCTTGTCTGTCTGTGCTGACACTTTCAGGGATCTGTAGACTCATACACTAAGGTCCATTTGTTCCTCATACTCCCCCTTCAGTGCCCATAGCAGCCTGATATACGTCTCACCGGGCCCTGGGGATTTATGCACCTGTATGTTCGGTAAAACGTCTAATACTTCCTCCTTATTAATCTTAACATGTTCTAGAACCTCACCAACTCAACTGAAATCCCCGGCTACAACGTCTTTGTCCTCTGTGAATACAGATGGGAAATCAAAATTTCAGACCTTACTCACATCCAGTGGCTTCATGCACAGGTTGCCCCTTTGGTCTCGAATAGATCCTATTCCTTCCCAGGTAATCCTCTCACTCTTAGTATACTTAAAAAAGCCTTGGGGCTTTCCTCGATTGCATCTGTCAAACGTATTTTGTGATCTCTCTTAGTCCTCCTAATTTCCTTTCTAAGCAACCTCCTATACCCTTTATACTTTTGATGGGCCTCCCCATTTGTAATGTGCTCTACCTAACATATGCTTCCTTCTTTCTCCTTAACAAAACCCTTGATATTGCATCAGAGATAGTAGGAACTGCAGATGCTGGAGAATCCGAGACAACAAGGTGCAGGGCTGGATGAACACAGCAGGCCAAGCAGCATCTAGGCCCGAAACGTCAGCCTCTCTGCTCCTACGATGCTGCTTGGCCTGCTGTGTTCATCCAGCCCAACATTTGAAGTGTAATTGCTGGTGTAATGTAAAGACAGCAACAAATTAGCACACAGCAATCTCCCCCGAACAACAATGTGACAACATAATCTGATCAATAATTGTCCAGGAAACAAGGGTGAATGGTCTTCCTAGAAATTGTGCCATGGGATCATCTGCAGAGAGGCCAGACAGGAGCTCAGTTTTAATGTCTTAACTGAAAGACAGCTCCTCTGACACTGCAGCAGTCCCTCACTGCTCAGATTGTCAGCCTGGAATTTGTGCTTTATTCTCTGGAGTGGGACACCAAGTGACAGTGAGCTGAGAGAGTGACCGACTGACACACAGCTCGTTTCATTCAGTCTGTTGGGTGGAGTGGGAGAAATGATCAGATTCACAAAGACATGAGAAACCTCCGAGGTACCTCATTACCTGTCACTGTACAGAGAGCGCTCAAAGAACTGAACTGGCTGGGCTGAGTCTATCACTCTGTCGCTGAGGGATTTGAGCTGTGACCGTACTCTGCTTAAAGAGGCGTAGTTCTGAAAGGTGAAGGACCAGCGTTCTGGTTTGTCGTACATCATCTGCAGCAGGTTCCCTCCACTCTTTTGCGATGTTGTTAGCTCCTTCAACACAGATGGAGTTTGGTTTAAACAGACACGACATACATTACAAAAAAAAAAAAAATCCCCTGCACAAAAACAAAGACTTCATGAAACGTTCTTCAAATAAAATGCTCTGCACTGGTTCAGAAATATTTAGTCCCCACACAGATGGTCCCTTGCTAGCATGGCCAATGAGACCAAGAGAGGGGACCTCAATGAAATGATTCTTCTGCCTGGATCCACCTTTCAATGTGACATTAAACCCTTTGCTTTTGTCGAGTGGCCCTCAGAAAACAAAAATGATCACATGGCTGCTGTTTCAAAGAAGAGGAGTTCTCCCCAGGGTCCTGAGGCCAATGTCCATCACACATCTGTCAGAACGTGAGAGGGAAGAGTGCGCTGAACATTACATCCCACTGTTCTACCAGCTGTGACAACACGTGTAAAATCCTAATGAGACCACTCAGACAACCACCTGGCCTGACTGACTGCTGTTCAGGATAAAAACAATTCACACCAGGTTTTATAATTAACTCACAACTTTACCAAATAGCACAGAAAAAGAATAACTAAACTACTGTCATGTATCTGAAATTCTACCCCAAGATAGATGGCTTGACACGGGTATTAACGGTGGGGAAAAACAGGGGACAAAATACTGAAGATCACGAGCCCTGACCATAGAGTGCGTTGATGTTTAGCGCTAATAATGCGTTGTGGTCTGTAAACAATGGTCATTCCTTACTTTGACAGTTGATCAGGTGGACTTAGATTTTTTTCTCGTTAGAATTCTTTGTTTTAATCTCTCTTGTTTTTTCTGTCTTCTCGCCGATGTGGAGAGACACAGAGTGAGAAAGATATTGTCAGTTCACAGGCTCTGGATGTTTAGCTGCTGTGCAATTGTAACAAACAGCAGCTCAGTTAATCCGAGGGCTGTCACTGAGCAGTATTTCCCTTTACTAAAAGATCCTTGGTACAGCCCTATCTCAAAGAATTCCCCTCACCACTTTTGGAAGCAATATTGTCTTGCACAGTGAAAAGTGTGCACCATTTAATTTGTCCCCGTCATAAAACTCTCCTGGTATTTCAACAACACAGCAATTCATTTGCATTACTATTTGACACAAAGAATGATTTCCTCCACCCAGAACCTACCGGGTCATCTGCTTGGGTAATGGCATTGCCAGTCAAGGTCCGAACAGGCTCACGGTTGCCCTGGAAAGGTGAGTCTGGGGCTTTTAAGAGGCATCTGAGGGCCCAGGGATAGGGCCGTGGAGACAGGTAAGGGGAGTCAGATGATGCTTAAGGAAAGGAGTTTACACTGTTGTGTGTACGCCCCACCCCGCCCTCATTATTGTGCACAAGGCACCCTTCAAATGAGATGCCCCATGTTCCATCCTGCCCTTATTCATTGTGACCATAAAAGCCAAGCTGTTCTCCCTTGCTCACTTTGACTGTTATTGCATGGGCAGTGTGTTGTTCAAATCAATCACCCCTCAGCCCAGCTTGGAAATATATCACTGTTCCTTCACTGTCGCTGGCTCACAATCCTGGAATTCCCTCCCTAAGGGCATTGTGGGTGCCACTTTGCTCCAGTGATTACGTTGGTTCAAGAAGGCAGCTCACCACCACCTTCTCCAGGTCATTAGGGACAGGCATCTAATACTGGCCCAAAGTGATACCACATTACAGGAAATTGTTCCCAGATTTCAACATGCTCCCCTGTCTCTCTCTCTCTTTCAGCACCCTCTGAGTGAAGATGTTCCTCCTCACCTCACTCCTAACTGGCCAACCTCTGTATGAGATGATTGCAAGTAGCAGCTTGGTCTGGAATGTACACATCCGTAATTGTACAGATCTGTCATTGTAATTGTACACGTAAAGTCTTAGAGTTATACAGCACAGAAACAGACCCTTCGGCCCAACTCGTCCATGCTGACCGGATGTTTTAAACCGATCTAGTCCCATTTGCCAGCATTTGGCCCATACCCCTCTAAACCCTTCCTATTCATGTACCCATCCAGATGCCTTTGAAATGCTGTAATTATACCCACTTTCACCACCTTCCCTCTATACGTACAGCATCCTCTGCATGAAAAAGTTGCCCCTCATGTTCCTTTCAAATCTTTCTCCTCTCACCTTAAAAATATGCCCACTAGTTTTGAACCCCCCTACCCTAGAGAATAGATCTTTTCTATTCAGCTTAGCTATGCCCCTCATGAGTTCATAAAGCTCTGTAAGATACAACCTGTATTGTACACCGCCCATCTCGATCACACCCATGTTATTGGTGATGAGTGCGAGTGTGTAAGACATGACAGGTGGTTAAACCCCCACTCCCGCCCCATCTTCGCAATCATCCCCTGACCCAGCCCCTGCTCAAGGTAGGGTGGCAGGGAGTGAGATTGGCAGCTTGCCTGACACTGAAACAAAAAACATAACAGGGAATTGTGTCTATAAACAGACCTGAATATTGCACTGCAGTTGGTGGCTGGGAATCAGGAGGCCACAATATTCCAGGACCACCTTGTTATGGTAGAGCAAGAGGCCATTCAGGCTGTGCTAGTACTACTATCCAGTGCCAGCCTTCTACCTTTACCCCATACTCCTCTGTCCAGTGCCCCTTTTGAATGGCCCCAATGAACCAGCCTCTGTCACATTTCCAGGCCGTGTATAAGAGATAACAAGGTGTAGAGCTGGATGAACACAGCAGGCCAAGCAGCATCATAGGACTAGGAAGGCTGACGTTTCCGGCCTAGACCCTTCTTCAGAAAAATCAGAAAATAATACATCCAGTTCTACACCTTGTTATCTCAGATTTTCCAGCATCTGCAGTTCCTACTATCTCCAGGCCATGTATCTCAGGCTGTAACTACACACAGAGTGAATATGTTCTTGCTCAGATCAGCCAATCATTTCTACATGATGTCTCAGAAAAGGCAGGAAGGGCAAGTGCATCGTTTGGAGGGGGCCCTGTATGCATCAGTGTCAACGTGGCCAAATTCTTATAGTGCCTGGTGTTCACAGCCCATCCCCGGCTCCAACTGAGAGGCAGAAATCTGGCTCTCGCTCCCTCAATGTCACCCAGTGCAAGTTACACCCAGAGAGACACTGAGTGACACCAACACTTCATCTCAGGGTCAGAGTGGGATGGGTGGGGGTGGGGGGAGCGCATGACCAGTGATCTCCCTCCCACAGAATATTCGCCCCCTTACCTCAGAATCATCTCCCTCTGTTTGCACATTACACCAACGAGCGATGGGCTCAGCAACTACATCCCAATCCTTACTGGCTTCTCCCAAAATCTGGATCAACGTCGATTTGCCAGCAGCTGGAAATATATTTGAAGATAGCATCTGTTGAAATAGGCAGCTCCGATAGAGTGTGACTGAGCAGTGGGGCAGGGTCCGAGAGTTTGGATGGCCTCCTGTCCATTTATGGAGAGGGAGAAGCTTGGAGGCCTACCTCAGGAGATAGCTCTTTCAAAGGAGATGCGGAGATCGAGCAGGTAAGTGGCTTTAAATTTGAAGATTAGCCGCAATCTGGATTAAGGGAACAGCAGGCTCGATGGGCCAAATGGCCCACTTCTGTTCCTCTTTGCTATGAGCCAGCACAGGCTTGATAAGCTGAGTGTGGTCTTCTCTGTCTGTGTGGTTTGCTATAACAACGTGTCGGGTACGTTTCATCCCCCATTATTTGTTTGAGACGGTGCTGTGCCAAAATCGCTATTGAAATCATAATGACAACTCGGATTTATGTAACACCTTTATTATAAACATCCTGAAGTGTTTGAAGGAGGGGTTCATCAGAGAAACATCGACACACAAGGGGATGTTGGGTCAGGTGACCAAACTGTGAATAAAAGGGAATATTTTAAGGAAAAACCGAAAGAACTGCGGATGCTTTAAATCAGGAACAAAAACAGAAGTTGCTGGAAAAGCTCAGCAGGTCTGGCAACATCTGTGAAGGAAGACACAGGGTTAACGTTTCAGGTCCGGTGACCCTTCCTCAGAATATTTTAAGAAGTTCATTTAAGACACAGATGAGGAGGAATTCCTTCTCTCACAAGGGAGCGAATCTGTGGAATTCTTTACCGCAGAGGGCTATCCAGGCTGGGTCATTGAGTATATTCAAGTTTAAGATTTTTAATCAGTAAAGGAATCACTGATTGTGAGGGGAAAGGCAAGAAAGCCTTGAGGATTATCAGATCAGCCATGACTCCATTGAATAGCAGAGACATGATGGGCTGAATGGCCTGCTTCTGTTCCTATGTCTTAAGGTTTCTTAAAGGTAAACAAAACAACCAGTGAGACAGCTGGAAGGATTAAAGATGGAATTCCAGAATGAGGGAGCCAGGGCAAGAGAATGTACAGAGGCAGGGAGCTTAAAATCAGAAATAACAGAGGACAGATTTGGACAAACACAGCGATCTGAGGGGTGTAGGGGCTGGAGGGGGTTACAGAGATAGGGAGGGGGTGTAGGGACTGGA